CGCTGGGGGCGCTTCTTGGTGGTCTTGGTCTTTGCCCTTTTGCTCGACATGGTGGTGGTTAGTTCCTAATTAGGAAAGGAAATATAAGGAGACAAAGAACAACAAAAGGTGAAATGAACGTTCCTTATATGTTTAAGCTACTTAGAGTGTGTCTAAAAATTATTCAGCAGGATAGTATCACTTGGCAAAAATATCTCTCAGTTAATAAATACCATTACTCATGGAACCAAACTACAAAGAGAACAATCAGAATCATGCTTTGAGTTCATTCATTTAGCAGTTGTGACATTTAATCAATAGTTGATCACTAACTTTAAGTTCCAAACTATAACCAACATTAATTCAAATCCTAGAGCATATCAACAAGATTGCATATCCCCATGTTGCTTTACAGCCTAATAAGAACTGATAACCAAATCTATTGGTTTAATAGCAATATAGAAACAAGACACAAAAGAATGTAGGTACCCTAGGGAAGCAGTTCCAGTTCTATACTTCACTTTTGAGGAATACTAATTCATTTTCAATAGGTGGATCCTTCTACAGCCCTAGCCTATACTAGTTATTCCATTCTAAAGTGGACAGAAAGTAGGAGGATGACTAACTGATGGAACACGTCTTCATCTCTTAATCTTTATTGCCAAATATTGTTTTCACTTCTAACTAGCACTTCTTACTGCACCCTTACTTCTGGAATCTTTGTCAAGAAAGTTATTTGTTGCCCTAGCCAGTTTGGCTCAATGGATAGAGCGTCGGCCTGAGGACTGAAGGGTCCCAGGTTCAATTCCGGTCAAGGGCATATGCCCAGGTTGTGGGCTCGATCCCCAGTTGGGGGCATGCAGGAGGCAGCCAATCAATGATTCTCTCTTATCATTGATGTTTCTCTCTCTCTCCCTCTCCCTTCCTCTCTGAAATCAAAAAAAATATATTTTAAAACAAGAAAGATATTTGTTGAAAGGCTAACTGAAAAGTATAGAAAACTCTGAAGTTAATTAATCTATAATTAAGTTTTACTGATATTTCCACAATTTCTTGCACAGAGTCAAGCTTGAAGTGACTAAGTTATCTATACAAAAATCAGAGCACAGTAGTTTTTAAAACTAATTTAGTTTTTTTTTTAAGTTTGGAAACTATCTTTTCTCTCTAATAATCTAAATTTATCCCTATAAAATTTAAGTTAAAAGCAAGAAGAATATCTCATACCTAAAATGAAAAGGCTGAGTCTTTAAAAAAAGACAAAAAAAACCAAAAAACACACTATAAAATTTTAGTTGGAGTTAAAAATCCCATCATCATCAGATAAAATGTTACCGTACCATCCTTCAGAGCTGATGTGGTGACAAGTAGTCTGCAAAACCTCTAATGAGCAAGACTAAGACACTGTATTGAGTTATATTCTTCCACGCAGGTCTAAAATAGGCACCACTGATTTCATTCTCTGACCAGGATAACAATTTTAAAGCTTACGTTCTGAAAACAACATTTAGCTATGATGTAGCAAAACACTATGCCCTTGATCTAAAAATAAGTCTGTGGGTTGCAAAGAATGAAGCACTACCTAGATCTCAGCACTGCAAAGTGACCTTAGGATACAATGCTTTGTGTGAGTTTAAAGTTATTTCTTACATTCTTTCCTTGGTTATACCACATCTTCCAGACTAAATTCAATCATGGGAATAATTAGAAAAGCTCTGCCTTAGTTTCCCCTCCCCCAAGCTAAATCTGTTCTTAGATTTCAGTAGGAAATTCCACAAAGAAAAGTCACAAATTCTAGTCCATCCAATACGGCACCCTGTAGAGAAACACTGGAATGTGTTATTGGTAAGATATACCTTACGTGACACTGAAATTATGATACATACTCTTTCCCAATTTCCAAGTTGCCTTTAATCACCCTTTAGGAGACTGTCTTTCATAATTTACCTAAACCATTCACGAAAGCATTATTTTCATGCTGTAACACCTTCTCTGGATAGTAAATTCCATTATTAACTACATAAAGCTGTAATTTCCCCCTCTATTCTGAATGTAGTTTTAAAAACTACAAGAAGTATGGAGTATATTATCCCGTCATCTCTTAAATGTTCTGAGGGACTTAGGGTAAGTGGTTGAAACCCGATGAGTGGCACATATTTACCAGTGCAAATCTGTTTATTATTTTAGGCATGCCATGTCATTGCAAACCAAAGCACATGTTTAAAAATAGTCTGTTTTGTTTGACAACATTGTCTTCCTCTAATGATGCAGGAATGTCAGTTATTATAAGACCAAAGAAACGGATGAGAATTATAAGTCAAATGGTTGACAACTGATTTTTGAATCTACAAAACCTCATATTGTATCTGGTGGAGTGGCGGGGCGGGGGGGGGGGGGGGGGGGGGGCCCTAAAAACTTTTTTAAAAAATCCTGAAATTGGGGTTATTAAAGTAATTCCACATATGTTGAGTTTCTGATGTATTTTCCTTATTAGTCTTTCTTTTAATCATGCATTCTTTAAGTTTATAAATGAGTTACAGTTTTTTTAAAATTATAAAGTTTTTTGGGTCAGCACTGACAGTGATCTTACCTAGAACTTTTCTTTACGCCCTTTCACAGGGGTCGCCTAAGACCATCCTGCATATCAGATATTGACATTACGATTCATAACAGTAGCAACATTACAGTTATGAAGTAGCAACGAAAATAATTTTATGGTTGGGTCACAACATGAGGAACTGTATTTAAAGGGCCAGAAGGTTGAGAACCTTTAATATAATCAGTTAATGGCAATAATGTGCATCAAATGTCACTAATGTTGAAAACTATTTAAGAATTAAGAAATATAAAGCAAGTGTCCTATCTTCAAGGAGCCTAAAATTTCGTTGGGGAGGCAACTATAAAGAAATAAAATGATTGGTTCAACTTATGAAATGAGTCACATAGTTTTCATTCCAGAAGTATGACTCTCAAAACAATGTGTGACAATAATGAAAAATAACTCAAAGGTGGTACATGATTATCAAATACTGTGAGTTCAGAAAAGATCTTTGTTTCTAAAAGACTCAGAGAGGGGGATAAGAAGACCCTGAAAAACCCTGTTCCACTTAGAAGCTACAAGACATTATTAAAATTAAGAGATGCAGATGTTAGTCTTAATTCTACCAAATGTTGGTAGTGTAAATTGGGCAAGTTACTACCTTTTCAAGGAGGTTATAGTCTGTTCTATGCATTTATCTCCCACCAGAAATCCTGGGCCTTTCAAGGATAGGGAGTTTAGCTTCACAGCTAGTTGTTCCAAAACAAGGAAAGTCAGTGTATTTTTTTCCTACCAAACTAAAAGTATGGGGTGGAATAAACACTGGAGGAGAGGGAGCCAAATCAGGAACTGTGCTATGATCCCAAGGAGCAAATTACGTATGATATTGTCATTATATTCCTTGCTATGACTAAGTTTTCTGTCCATTTTCACTTTCCCCAAACAATTAAGACTGTAACTGTCTTATTTTAACAAGACCTCAGAAAATGCACAATTCTCAAAGAAATTTAGAAATCTGGGGTAAAATGAAAATATTTCATATAGCAATGTAGGTATTCTTTATTTAGGATGGGAAGATTACCACGTAGGCACCTCAGAATTCCAAATTATGAGGACCCTCACTCATTCTAGAGTCTATTATTCAAGCATTTAATGGAAGATCTTTGGTGTGAAGGCATATGTGTTGTATGAAACTTAAAAACAGGGTGACTTGCAGAGCACGCTTCTTTCTATGAAATACATAAAGATTTCAGATGCATGAGCAAGTCAATAAAACAGTCAACAAAGGTCAAGGAGATTCAGTGTACAAATCTAAAGGAGCAGAATGTTTTAAATCAAGGGAGTGAGTGGAGTGTTGGTGACAATGACTTTGTCGTTTCATTTATTTTATTTATTTATTTTTGCTTGATTAGATAGAAAATCATTTAGGGTTATGACAAAAGGAGAAATACATGTAAGGAAGATGTTAGCCTAGATTAAATGGTATAAGTGAAAAATAAAAATCCTCAAAGAGGATTTCCCCACACACCAACGGCAAACCAGAAGATTTTTCAGAATCTCTCCATACTATGGTTTCATTTATAAAATGAGATTAATCCATAGTGATATTACATTAGGTTACTCTAGGTAGAATCCTAGACTCCAACACTTTTAAAGTGGTAATAATAAATGTAAGATAACCTACGACTTTTTCTACAGAATCACCACTCAAATTGACAGTAT